AGCTCGGCGCATGTGTCTGTGTGCCCAGGTCACCCGGCAGCAGTACCACAACGCACTGGTGGCCAGCCGCATGGACAGCTCACCCCAGTCCCCTGACATGGAGGCCTTCGACAGAGATTCAACCAAGGCCTCGACCACGCGGGGAACCCCACAGACACCCAAGGAAGATGCCACCACCCTCCTGAACGAGAGGAACAGCGTCATGTGTGAGTCACCCAGCAGCATCCCTTCCCTGCCACAGGCCAACGCTGCATGTCCCCTGGGGGGGGCCATGGTGGTACCCACTGGCATGATGGGCATGCCACCGCTGAGACGCAGTTGCACGTGGCCCAGGGCACCTGGGCATTTGCACACACACACCCGTGGATGCTGTTCTGCACCTGCACATGCACACAGGTGCAAATATGCAGGCGTGTAAATCCCCATTCCCCACGTGCTCATGCTCCCTGGGGGGTCCCTGGCAGGCATCCCCCTGTGTCCTGCCCCAGGGCACGGTGCCAGCCTGCCCTGCCACCATGCCTGCCCCGTGTCCCCACAGGCAGCCGCTCCGAGGGGCTGCGCAGTCCCAGCGAGTCAGTGTTCCTGCGCATGGAGGGCATCCCCTTCATCCAGGAGGAGCTGGCTGACAACGAGGAGAACAGCAAGCAACAGAGTGAGTCTGGCCGGGGGTGGGGGGGGAATGCCCCTGGGGGCAGCAAGGGCTGCGATGCCCCGGGGCACTGCAGCCAGGCTGGGCTTTTGCAGACAGTGAGTGCTGCAGCACCGTGCTGGAGGCAGAGTCCCCGGGAAAAGAGGCCGGGGCCAGCTCATCGCCAAGCAGCTCCGAGGAGACGCTGGGCAGGAGGCTGCTGAGATCCCTCAGTGAGTGACTGACCCGGGGAGGGAGCACCCAGGGGAGAGTTCTGCCCCGGCACCCTGCTGCCCAGGTCAGCTGCTCCCCAGCCCTGTCCCGGGGACACCCTGCATGGGGCCGGCGTGGAGCAGGGGGGCAGCCCAATTCCCTGGCAGTACCCCAGCAGCAGGCAAAACTGCACCAAGGGCTAGCTCAGGCAGAGCCAGCTGCCTGGTCCTGGCCCGACCCCATGCACCCCCTGCCCTGAGCACCCTTGCCCCCCAGCACCCAGCCCTAGGCACCCTTGCTGCTGCAGGTGGGCGCAAGCAGCGGCCATCGCCGGAGGGTGAGAAGACGCCAGAGGAGAGCTCCAATCTCGCCCCGTTAGTCACCTGAGCAGCAGCGTGGCCGGAGCACAGTGCTGGAGGCCCATGCAGACTGGAGGTAGGAACCTGCCTCTCTGTGCAATGCTCCTTCCCCAGCACATGGGAGGTCGCTCAATTTTAATAGCGTAAAAGTCAAGTTTCAAGCAGCAAAGCCAAGCAATGTGGTTTGGAGCCTATACAGGCACACGTCGCTGGGGGCTGGAGCAGGGTCAAGGGATGCAGCAGACTCCAACCATCCCTGGGGCAGGGATGGATGTTGGAGACAGAGTGAGACCCTGACTCGTGTTTTCACAGCTAGAAATGTACGTCTGCACCAATAGCCCCAAGCCTGGCTAGGAAAGGCGCTGCAGGTTTGAGCAGCAGCAGGTCGGGGAGGGCAAGCTCTGGCTGCCGGCACCAGGCTGCGCTTGTGTCTTCCAGGTCTGCAGCATGGGGTTCTCCTGCCACGAGGGTCATGTTCAACAGCAGCAGGTCTGCACTCGCTCGCTGCCCGTCCGCCCGCCTGCCCGCTCATGCCGCCCCTCCCTGCAGGACTTGTGCAGAGCCCCATCCCCAGGCGAGAAAGGATGTGCCCCCAGCGGGGCTGAGCCACCCAAGCGGCCTGGACCAGCTAGCTGGAGTCCGAGGGCCCTTGCCCAGCTGCTCCCTGGTAGCATCTGTTCTCAAGGAAGAGGTGGAGAAAGGAAAGGTGGAGAAGTGTCTGGCACGGTGTCCCTGCAGGTGGAGCAGGGAGGGGCGGCCCAACCCAGAACTGCCCTTAGCATCATTTACCATCCCCATCTCAGCGAGGCCCAGAGCCTCCCAGTGCTGGGTGCTGCACAGACGTGGTCTCCACCATAAGGAGAGCATGCTATTTGGGGGGTGCCACACGCAGCTCAGGGCCCCAGCACACGTTTGTGCGGTGCACACTCACAGCGCCTTGCGCACGCTGACCATTGACACAGCCCGGCACTCCCAAACCCCTGCTAGGCACAGGGCAGGGAGCCCAGCTCACCGCTGAGCACAGCCCCCCGCCCCGGGGAGAGATGCTCCACACTGCATTGAACCATCCTCCTCTCCGCGCATGGCTGCCTGTGCGAGGGAGGCTCGCGCCGAGCCTTCAGGTTGGTACAGACCAGTCAGTAGTTTTTGTAGAGGCTGAACGCAACGGGGATATTAACATTAAAAGTGATTTCTCCCTGAGCAATGCCCTGTCTGTGTCAATGGGTGTAGGGACAGACGTGCTACCCCCTCCCACCCCCCCTCAG